TTACATCCTTTGATGCATAAAAGTTTTTACATTTGATGTAGTCCTATTTGTTTGTTTTTGCTTCTGTGGCCTGTGCTTTTAGTGTCATATTTAATAAATCATTGTCAAATCTCATGTCCTGAAATTCTGTTTTCTTCTAAAAGTTTTTTAGTTTTGGGTGTTATACTTTGGTCTTTAATCCATTTAGAGTTAATTTTCGTATATGGTTCAAGATAAGGGTTCATTCTTTTCCATGTGGATATCCAGTTTTTCAAACCATTTAATAAAGAGACCATCTTTTTCCCATTGAGTGGTCTTGAAATCCTTGTTGAAGATCGTTTGATCAAATATGGTAGTTTGTTTCTGGGCCCTGTGTTCACTTGCATGGTCTATGTTGTTTGTCTTTATTCTAGTATTACAGACCACAGGCTCTTTGGTTTCCCATGTAATGGAAATTAACACGGAGCCAAGCAGATTTCCCAGACAGGACTTTTATTTCAGGGCTTCTGCTTGAGCACAAGGGAAACAATGGAGGTGAGGCTCAAGGATCCTCTTCCTGGCTTCCTGGAAAAAGCCAGTAGGACTTTTTTTTATTAGACAAAGCACAGGAATTGACATGGAGTAAGGTATGCAGGCTGGGCTGGGCAAAGCACTACAGGGTAGGGTATGCAAGGCAGCATATCTGGTTGCGGTGATTATCTCCAGTAGGGGTCTGGCTGGTGGCAACAATGCTGTAAATCAATTATTTCGCATTCCTTCCTGAGGTGGACTCTGCAACCTTGATTTGGTTTTGGATCTCCTAAGACCAATTCCTGGAATTCTTTAAAAGGTATGGTTACACATTATGAGAGCACCGCAGAATGGCTGTTTTCTTTGTGTATGACTAAACCCTCAGGGTTAGCATGTGTAATATCAGTGAGGTAATGTTACGGGTTTTGTGAGGAGGAGAAAAAAAAAATAAGTGAAGGAGAAACTACATCACACCTCCTGTTCTCTCTCACCAGTGCCACATTGTTTTCATTACTGTACTTCTGTAATAAGTTTTAAAATCAGAAAGCATGAGACCTCCAACTTTGTTGTTTTTAAAGATTATTTTGGCATTTTGAGGTTCCTTGAGATTCCATATGAATTTTAGGATAGGTTTTCTATTTCTGCAAAAAACGTCTTTGGGATTTAGAGATTGTATTGAATCTGTAGATAGATTGCTTTGAATAGTATTGACATCCCAACAATATTTAGTCTTGTAGTCCACGTACGCGGGATATTTTTCCGTTTATTTATGTTTTTTTCCTTTTAGTACTATTTTGTAGTTTCCATGTGCACATCTTTTACCTTCGTTCATTCCTAAATATTTTATTCTTTTTGGTGCTATTATAAATGAAATTGTTTTCTTAATTTACTTTTCAGATTGTTCATTATTAGTGCATAGAAACAAATTTTTTTGTGTGTTGATTTTTGTATCCTGGTACTTGGCTAAATTTGCTCTAACAGCTTTTGACTGAATCTTCACTGTTATTTACATGTAAGATTATGTCAACTGCAAACATGATTTTTTACTTTTTCTTTTCCAATTTAGATGTGTTTTATTTATTTCTCTTATTGCTCTGACTATAATTTACAATATTATGTTGAATAGAAGTGGGGAAATTGAGAAGCTTTGCCTTCTGGTCTTAGAGAAAAATCTTTCAGTCTTTTATCATTGAGTATGATGTTAGTGTGGTTTTGCATATATGGCTTTTATTATGTTGTAGTTTCCTTCTAGTCTTAGTTTGTTGAGTGTTTTTATCTGCAGCTTGCTTTTGTTTTGTTTTTTTTTTGTTACAGTACTTTGGAACTAAATAATCTAGAATTGTTTTATTGTTTAAGGATTTTTGAGATAGTCTTGCTTTATTGGTCAGGCTGGAGTGCAGTGGTGCCATCAGAGCTCACTGCAGCTTTGAACTCCTGGGCTCAAGTGATCCTCCCACCTCAGCCTCCTGAGTAGCTGGGACTACAGGTGTGTGCAACCACACCCAGCTGACTTTTTAAATTTTTAGTAGAGATGAAGTCTCAGTTTGTTGCCCAGGCTGGTCTCGAACTCCTGGGCTCAAGTGATACTCCTGCCTTGGCCTCCTAAAGTGTTGGGACTACAGGCGTGAGCCACTGTGTCCAGCCAAGACAATTTTTTAGGAAGATAGCACACAGAAGAACACTGCAGAATGGCAAATACAGTCTAGCAGCACATCACAAAATACTTACTGAGGAGAGCATTAATCAATGAATGCAAGTAGTCATTCAGGATTTAATATAGTTTACCATGTTACTAGGTAAAATGATCCTATTTTTGCTTTTTAGTAAATAGACATTTGCTAAAATTTAAAATTCACTCTTTGTTTCTATTTGGAGTTTAGAAACTGTTACTTCCTTAGCATGTCAGTTTTTCAAACCAAAGACCAGAATCTTTTTTTTTTTTGAGACAGAGGGCTCTGTCAACCAGGCTGAAATGCAGTGGCACGATCTCAGCTCACTGCAACTTCTGCCTCCCAGGTTCAAGCGATTCTCATGCTTCAGCCTCGCAAGTAGCTGGAATTACAGGCACGTGCCACCATGCCCGGGTAATTTTTGTATTTTTAGTAGAGATGGGATTTTGCCGTGTTGGCCAGTCTGGTCTTGAACTCCTGACCTCAAGTCGTCTGCCTGCCTCGGCCTCCCAAAGTACTGGGATTACAGATGTGAGCCACTGTACCCAGCCCAGAATCATATTTAATGGTGAAACATTAGAGGCAATCTCATTAAAGTTGGGAATAAGGTAGAAGTCCATCATCACCACTTCTAGATATTAAGAATGTAATTAGTTATGGGGATGTGGTAATATGTTAGAATAAGGAAACTGTAGCAATTGACACACGGTTAATATTGAAAATACCTGACCACTCTCTTATTTAAGCAGTAGCCAATTAGAAAACATGAAAGAAGAAAGGATCCCATTTGCAGTATCAAACAATTGGGAGGTGGAGGTTGCAGTGAGCTGAGATTGCCACTGCACTCTAGCCTGGGTGACAAAGTGAGACTGTCTCAAAAAAATAAAAATCATACACTTTAACAAGAAGTGTGTGACACTCTAGAAGAAGAAATTCTCTTTAAGTTCCACTGAGGGTCATAAAGCAGATCTGAACCAAAGGAAAGGTGGGTAGGAAAGCAGTGTTGGGAATGATATCAGTTCTTTTTAAAAACCTTAAATTCAGTGTGATCCTAGTCAAAATAATTTTAAGGGCTCTTTTAGGAACTTTGAACATATTCCAGATAGCTGCTTTAAAGTCTTGTTATGCTAAATATTTTAAGGTCTTTGTCTGCTACCTTTGGTTAAAGTTTCTAACACCTACTCTCCCCTATCCTCCTACCCTGTGCATTGATCACAGTTTTCTTTTTTCTATACATTGAGTTTTGACTATATTGGCATTTTGAATGATAATGTGTAGAGACTCTTGGTTCTGTCATCTTCCTCTGAAGAGTGTTGGTTCTTGTTTTTAGCAGGCAGTTTAGTTAATGATAATTTTGAACTTTCGTAGTTGTAGTTTTGTGCTGTGTTAATGTATATTTGTGGGAAGTCCAGGGTGTTTCCTAAGCCTCCCAATGTGGTGGGCCTTAGCCTCCAAGCTCTGTCTCCCCTGTGGCTTTTTAGGAGAGATCTATAGTAGATCTTACTTCAGTTATATACTTACTCCTTATTTTTAAGGGGGAACCTTTTGGTATATCAGCTGAATGCCATTGTTAATGAGATCTCTAAATTCTGATGGCCCTAAAACTTGAGAGTCTTCAGCATTGTTTTTTCCCCTAGCACGGTACACTGTCTGGTGTCTCTGTTTTCTCAACTCCATAGCAGCTGCTGCGTAAGGCTTAGGTGGTCTTGCTATGAGTATGTACAGCCTGTCCGCTCACTGGACACTCCCATGTGGATTTCTGGGAGACCCTCTCTGCACAGTTCCCTACTCTCCAGTGCCCTGGATTCTGATTTCTTCCTGCTCTGTGTTACTTGACTTTGGGTGTCTGTTCAAGGTCTGAAAATGTTCTTAGACAGAGAGCTGGGTAATCGTAGGGCTCACCTTGTGAGTTTTTGTGCTGTTTTCCACTGTCTGAAAGCAGTAGCCTCATATTTTTTCTCCAGTCTTATAGTTGTTTACAGTAGAAGGGCTGATCTGGTCCCAGTTATTCCATCCTAACTGGAGGCCTCTTTTTGGGGAACTTTAGAAACAATTCTAAAGTTTTTGAAAATGTCCCTGAAAACAAATAAATTCTGAAAAAGAATTTATTTTAGTAATTTCATATTTTAATAAAGGGAAGGTGGGGTGGAGTAACTTCAACAGGCATTAAATTTATTCTAAAGCATAATATTTAAAACATTTGGTACTCGTACGGAAGTATAAAGATACATCATTAGAGGAAGGGAGGAATAAAGACTCTTGGAAGTTAGTATGGTTTAGTATGTGGTAACAGTGGCTTCTCAATCATTGAGGAAAGGATGGCTTATTTAAGAGATTACCTTAGGTTATAAACAGGCTAACCATTTGGAAAACAGTGAAGCTGAATCCTTTATTTACTCCTGCATCATAACTAATTTCAGATGGGAGTCAAGATTAGACATACTGAAATAAAAGCGACAGTATCAAAATATGGGTAAAACTTATTTTTTATGGTCTCAGAATGATAGGACTATAAATAAGGCACAAGTTATTTTCTGTATTACAAAATACACCATCAAAAAAGTGAATGGGTTTAATCAACTGGCAAAAAATAGTTGTATTTCAACTGTTGTATCATATCACATCACTCTTACTGGTTTAAAAAAATTAGCTCTCATTTAAATTAATTTTAGTTGAAACTTTGTTTTGGCTAGGAGTATGTTATATTGGGCTTATGGGAGGCCTCAGTGATTTGAATTGAAGCTATTATATACTATAATGTGTTTTCTTAAAGTAAAAACCATTTGTGGTGGTGTATTGCTCTAAGTTGTATATTCATAATATTAATGCTTTTCTTTTAAGAACCTTCAACAACTAGTACTGCTTCAAATTATCCAGATGTGTTAACAAGGCCTTCTCTTCATCGGAGCCATCTGAATTTCTCCATGTTGGAATCCCCTGCATTACACTGTCAGCCATCTACATCCTCGGCATTCCCAATTGGCAGTTCGGGATTTTCCCTTGTAAAGGAAATTAAAGATTCTACCTCTCAGCATGATGATGATAACATCTCAACTACCAGTGGTTTTTCTTCAAGAGCTTCTGATAAAGGTATTCTTGACATGTGGTAGTACATAATTTGGGTAGTAAAATTAAATTTTATGGGATTTTTTTTTTTTCCTGACTTGGATATAATTTTCGTATTTACAAAAATCTAGGATCTTGTATTGGTGTTATTACTATGGATTATGTAATTTTGTTTCAGATATAACTGTTTCAAAGAACACTTCATTGCCACCTCTGTGGTCCCCAGAAGCTGAACGTTCTCACTCACTCTCGCAGCACACTGCCACCAGCTCAAAAAAACCAGCATTCAACTTGTCTGCCTTTGGAACACTTTCCCCTGTGAGTACTAACTGGGTTGGATTTAATCACATTAGTCTTGAGTGTTTATTGCATATATATATATATATATATATTTTTTTTTTTTTTTTTTTTGAGACAAGAGTCTTTCTCTGTTGCCCAGGCTTCAGTGCAGTGGCACCATCTTAGCTCCCTGCAACCTCCACCTCCTGGGTTCATATGACTTATAATTTATCATTGTGTTTCTGTGCAGTCACTTGGGAGTTCTTCAGTCCTTAAAACCAGTCAGCTTGGAGACTCTCCTTTTTATCCTGGAAAAACAACATACGGTGGGGCAGCGGCTGCTGTAAGACAGTCTAAACTACGAAATACACCTTATCAGGTAGGTTCCAATAGAAGGGTTGATGACCTTTTTTTTTTTTTTTCCACTTTAACTGGATAATAAATTACTTTGTGCTCAAAAAAATAGTTTTGATTTATTTTTTATTTTTCTTTTATTTATTTATTTTTGAGATAGTCTTGGCTCTGTCGCCCAGGCTGGAGTACGGTGGCACGATCTCGGCCCATACTGCAACCTCTGCCTCTTGGTTTCAAGCGATGCTCCTGCCTCAGCCTCCCAAGTAGCTGGGAGTACAGGCACACGCCACCACGCCCAGCTAATTTTTCGTATTTTTAGTAGAGACAGGTTTCACTATGTTGGCCAGGATCATCTCGATCTCTTGACCTTGTGATCCCCCATCCTTGGCCTTTCAAAATGTTAGGATTACAGGCGTGAACCACTGCGCCTGGCCAGTAGTTTTGATTTAATATTATTCTTTGGGAAAATAACAGCTATAGGTTATATTTTTTTCATTTAGCATATGTAGACATTATTTAGACCTATGTGAATGTTTTATGTATTAGATATGTGTGTGTATCTCAAGAAATGTGATTTTTTTAAAATGAGGTATAAATTACACATATTAAAATTTACCATTGTTTTATAGTATTTGAGTTTTAACAAAACACATTATTATGTATATAACCACTTCTGCAATCAAATATTGATCAGACATTTTCATCACCCCAGAACATTACCTTATGTATCTCTTGAGTCAATCCTTCCTCCTCCTACCACCCTCTGGCAACCACTGATCTGTTTTCTTTCTCTGTAGTTTTGGCTTCTCCAGAATGTCATATACATTTAGTCATATGTAGCCTTTTGATTCTGGCTTATTCTGCTAAGCATAATGCATTTGAGATTCATCTGTTTTTGCATCTTTTAATAGTTCCTTTTTATTGCTGAGTAGTATGGTTAATACAGTTGGTTTATTATTCACTAGTGAAAAGACACTGAGTTGTTTCCAGTTTCTGACAATTATGAATGAAGCTGCTATGAATGTTTTTTGTGAGCATTCATTTTCATCTCTAGGGTAAATACAAATACCTAGGAGTTGAATTGATGGGTCATATGGTAAGTAAGTATTCAGTAAACTTTATAATAAACTGCCAAACCATTTTCCAGAGTGGCTGGTACCAGGTTTCGTTCTGACTAGTAATGTAAGAGTTGCTGTGCATCCTTGTCAGCACTTGGTGGTGTCAGGTTTTTTTGTTTGTTTTTGCTATTCTAGTAGGCATGTAGTGGTAACCCCAACTTGTGATTTTAATTTGTACTTCCCTAGTGACTAATGATGTTGAGTGTCTTTTCAGGTGTTTATTGGTGCTTGTTTGCTATCAGCCCATCTTTTGGTGAAATATCTTCTTTGATGAAGTCTCTGTTCAAATCTTCCACCCGTTTTAAAATTGGGTTATTTTCTTATTAATAAATTTTGAGAGAGTTCATTTTTCAGGGTACAAATACTTTGTTATATGTTTTGCAAATATTTTCTCCCATTCTGTGGTGTATATTAATAGTGTCTTTTGAAGAACAGATTTTTTTTTTTTCCCCCTGAGCCAGAGTCTTGTGCTGTCGCCCAGGATTGAGTGCAGTGGTGCACTCTCCACCTCCTGGATTCAAGCAATTCTCTGCCTCAGCCTTCTGAGTAGCTGGGATAACAGGTGCCTGCCACCATACCTGACTGATTTTTGCGTTTTTAGTAGAGATGGAGTGTCTCACCATCTTAGCCAGGCTGGTCTCAAACTCCTGACCTCGTGATCCACCTGCCTCGGCCTCCCAAAGTGCTGGGATTACAGGCATGAGCCACCGCGCCTGGCCAGAAGTTTTACTTTTGTTGACATCTTTTGTGTGTGCGTGTGTGTGTGTGCGCGTGTGTGTGTATTGTTAATGGTTTCATGCTTTTGATGTCGTATCTGAGACATTTTTACTTAATCCCATGTCACAAAGATTTTCTCGTATGTTTTCTTCTACAAATTTTACAGTTTTAGGTTTTAATGTATGCCTATGATTGATTTTGAATAAATTTTTGTGTGTGGTATGGGGTATTGGTCAAGGTTCATTTTATTTTCTAAATTAAAAAGTTTTTTTAAAAAATTAAAGATGGGAGTCTTACTGTGTTGCTCAGGCTGATCTTGAACTCCTGGGCTCAAGCAGTCCTCCTGCTGCAGCCTCCCAAAGTGCTGAGATTACAGGTATGCCTGGCCGAGGTTTTTTTTTTTTTTTTTTTAAAACATATGGGTGTGCAATTGTTCTAGTGTTATTTGTTAAAAAGACTGTTCATTGAATAGCTTTTGCACCATCATTGTTTTGTGTTTTTGTTTTGAGACAGGGCCTTGCTCTGTCACACAGGCTGGAGTGCAGTGGCACGATCATGGCTCACTGCAACCAGAACCTTCTGGGCTCAAGTGATCCTCCCACTTTAGCCTCCTTATAAGTACCGCGCGCTAACCGATTGCGCCACTGGAGCCACAAATGCCCACTTTAGCCTCATGAGAGCTGGGACCACAGGCGTGCGCCACCATTCCCAGCTAATTTTTTTTTTTTTTTTTTTTTTTTTTTGGTAGCAATGGTCTCACTAAGTTGCCTAGGCTGGTGGTGTACTCCTGGGCTCAAGCGATCCTCCTGTGTTGGCCTCCCAAAGTGTTCGGATTACAAGCATGAACCACCATGCCCAGCCTGCACCTTTGTTGAAATCTGGTTCACATGGCTTTATTTCTGGACTTTTGACCTGCGCCGCCGCCGCCACCCATTGATCTATGTGTCTTTCCTTTTGCCAACACTGCGTCTTTCCTTTTGCCAACACTGCACTGTCTTGATTGCTGTAGGCTTCCGGTAGGTCTTAAAATTAGGTGATAAGAGTAGTCCAACTTTGTTCTTTTTTCAAGCCTGTTTTGGCTGTTTTAGGTCCTTTGCTTTTCTATAAAAATCTGAAACTGCCTTGTTTCTACAGTCTGCTAGGATTTTGATTGGAATTGCTTTTTTAATTTTTGAGATGGAATCTTGCTCTGTCACCCAGGCTGAAGTGCTGTGGCATGATGTTGTTACACGGCAACCTCCACCTCCCGGGTTCAAGCAATTTTCCTGCCTCAGCCTCTCGAGTAGCTGGGACTACAGGCACACACCACCATGCCCTGCTAATTTTTGTATTTTTAGTAGAGACGAGGTTTTACCATGTTGGCCAGGCTGGTCTCGAACTCCTGACCTCTGGTATTACAGGTATGAGCCAGCATGCCCAACCATGATTGAGATTGCATTTGAGTCTAAAGACCAATTTGGTGAGAATAGGCATCTTAACAAAAATAGAGTCTTCCAAACCATGAACATGGTGTATCTTCCCATTTAGGTGGTTTATAAATTTTTTTCATCAATGTTTTGTAGTGTTCAGCATTCAGATCTTGAACATATTTTGTTAGACTTTTGTTATTTGGTATTAGTCAAGAATATGTAGCCTGAATAGTCTTATCTTTTCAATGAATTGAGTTCATAATTTAAAATAGGTTCCAGCAAAGAAGCTTCAGGCTCAGATAGCTTCCCTGGTGAATCTTACCAAACATTTTAGAAAGAAATAATACCAATTCTACACAAACTCTTATGTATAGTAGGAGAGTAGGGAACACTTCCCCCAGTACCTTTTATGAGGCCAACATTATTATCCAGAGACCAAAATCAGACGAAGACATTGGAAGACAGCAACAGACTATTATTTCTCATGGATTATAGACACAAACCTTCTCAACAAAAATATTTGTAAATGGAATCCAACAAATTTAAAAAGGGAGCTGCATCATGATCAAGTGGGGTTTATCCTGGGAAGGCAAGGTTGACTCAACATTTGAAAATTAATGGGATTGGGACGGGTGTGGTGGCTCATGCCTGTGTTCCCAGCACTTTGAGAGGCCTTAGATCACCTGAGGTCAGGAGTTCGAGACCAGCCTGGCCAGCATGGTGAAACCCCATCTCTACTAAAAATACAAAAATCAGCTGGATGCAGTGGCGCATGCCTGTAATCCCAGATACTCGGGAGGCTGAGGCAGGAGAATTGTTTGAACCTGGGAGTCGGAGGTTGCAGTGAGCCGAGATTACGCCACTGCACTACAGCCTGGGCAACAGAGTGAGACTCCCATCTCAAAAAAAAAAAAAAAAATTGGATTTACCATGTAAACAATCTAAAGAGTACTATATGAACATCTCTATAGATATATAAAATATTTTTTTAAAAATCCAACATTTACTCATGATACAAATTTTCAACAAACCTAGGAATAGATGAGATCCTTCTACCTGATAAAGTGCATCCACAAAAAAATCATCTGGCATCATACTTAATGGTGTGAGGAAGCGAGCAAGGATGCCTGCAATCACTGCTACTGTTTAACATCATACCGCAGGTGCTAGCCAGTGCAGTAGGCACAAAAATCAAGACATGCAGATTGGAAAGGGTATTATTCCTGTAATGTTATTCCTAGACACAGATAACTTGCTTATCTACATAGAAAATCCAAAGAAACTACAAAAAAAGCTACCACAACTAATAAGTGAGTTTAACAGGGTCACAGGATACACTGCGTGAGCCACTGTGCCCAGCCTGTTATATTAACTTCTGAGAAACAAGTCATTAGTATTAAAATTTTAGGTTTTCGTTGCAGTAGAATCTACCATCTCTTTGTTTAGCCATCTTAGAATTTACTCTAATTGAATGTTATTTAATGCTTAGGTTAACTGATATCTTAATTCAGTTTTTATTAATTTAATGTTCTTTGATTTAAATATTATAGATAAATGGATCTAAGGTAATACTAGAACTTTTTATCAATTGCCCCATTTACCCCATGTGACATAACTGGTAGACTTTTTTTTTTTTTTGAGATGGAGTCTCACTCTGTTATCCAGGCTGGAGTGCAATGGCGCAATCTCAGCCCACTGCAACCTCCACTTCTGGGTTTAAGTGATTCTTCTGCCTCAGCCTCCTGAGTTGCTGGGAGTACAGGTGCCCGCGAGCACGCCCAGCTAATTTTTGTATTTTTAGTGGAGATGGAGTTTCACCATGTTGGCCTGGCTGGTCTTGAACTACTGACCTCAGGTGATCTACCCGCCTCAGCCTCCCAAAGTGCTGGGATTAGAGACATGAGCCACTGCACCTGGCCCAGACTTTTCTTTAGAATGGTGCATGCTGTCTTATCATTCTTTTGTTGTTGTAAAGGTAATTTCTCAGAGAATTGGATTTCCAATAAAGGCATGAAGAAAAAAATTGAACTTTTAATGACCCTACCCAGAGATAAATTGCTGTTAACGCATTAAATCTTGTTTTACTTTGGACATCCATTCTATCTTGTAAATATTTTCATTGTGTGAAATATGTGCCTTAGATTTTGTGTTACAATAAATAATACAGGGTTTACTTTACAGGCACCAGTTAGAAGACAAATGAAAGCTAAGCAACTCAGTGCACAATCTTATGGTGTGACCAGTTCAACGGCTCGGCGAATATTGCAGTCTTTAGAGAAGATGTCAAGCCCTTTAGCGGTAAATTTTTAAAATAAAAATTAATACAGGAGTGTAACAAAACCTAGTATTATTGAAAAATCTTAATTTTGTTGTTTTTTCAACATTAACAGGATGCAAAAAGAATTCCATCCATTGTTTCTTCTCCTCTGAATTCTGTAAGTTGAAATTTAAACCTTTTAAAAAGATATTGTTCATACAAAAATTAGCTGGGTGTGGTGGCGCACGCCTGTAGTCCCAGCTACTTGGGAGGCTGAGGTAGGAGAATCGCTTGAACCTGAGAGGCAGAGGTTGCAGTGAGTTGAGATTGCACCACTGCACTCCAGCCTGGGCAACAGAGTGAGACTCCGTCTCAAAAAGAAAAAAAAAAGTTATTTTTCATAACTCCCCATCTATTCTAATAGTATTTTTATTTTTCAGCCTCTTGATAGGAGTGGGATAGATATCACAGATTTTCAGGCCAAAAGAGAAAAGGTAAGACTTGTTTAGCATTTAGTTATTTAAACTCTCTGTAATTTTGTTGTGTTTAAAGTTCACAAGTATACAAATTGGATTTAGTTTAGACATTAGTGAACATGTTTGAAAAGTAATTTTTTTTTTTTTTTTGAGGCTTAGTCTAGCTCTGTCATCCAGACTGGTATGCAGTGGCGCCATCTTGGCTCACTGCAACCTGTGGCTCCCAGGTTCAAGTGATTCTTGTGCCCCAGCCTCCCTAGTAGCTGAGATTACAGGCACGTGCTGTCTTGCCCCACTAATTTTTGTATTTTTAGTAGAGGCAGGGTTTCGCCATTTTAGCCAGGCTGGTCTCTGAGCTCAGGCTGGTCCTGAGCTCAGGTGATCTGCCTACTTTGGCCTCCCAAAGTGCTGGGACTAAGGTGTGAGCCACTGTGCCTGACCCCGAAAAATAATATTCTTTTACTTGGACATTTTACTCTATTCTTCAGGCCTCAGGACTATATTGTATATGTAGTAGACACTCATCCAATTTTTTTTTTTTTGGACTATTCAGCATTTCCATCTTCAGGATCTTGACAGACTTTATGGCTTACTCTTACCTTTTGATAAATAAAAATAGGAGTGATCAGCCAGGTGCAGTGGCTTACACCTGTAATCCTAGCACTTTGGGAGGCCTGGGCCAGTGGATCACTTGAGGTCAGAAGTTCAAAACCAGCCTGGACAACATGGTGAAACCCTGTCTCTACTAAAAATACAAAAAAAAAATTAGCCAGGTGTAGTGGCGTCCACCTGCAATCTCAGCTACTCTGGAGGCTGAGGCAGGAGAATCACCTGAACCTGGGAGTAGGAGGGTGCAGCAAGCTGAGGTTGCGGCACTGCACTGCAGCCTGGGAGACAAAGTGAGACTCTATCTCAAAAAAAAAAAAAAAGAAAAGAAAAAATAGTTCAGTAAACTAAAGTCCTCATTGCACATCATCATCTTTGTATACTTTCCTCATTAACCAAATTTTTGTGAAATTTATTGTGTATAGTAGAATTTCAGTTAGGCACATCTCTCATCAGCCAAACAAAATACTGTTCCAAGATAGTGGAACTAATAAAGTTGATCATTATATCTTGCTGCCCTTTTAATATATCCTATTTGCTTAAAATTAACTTCGGAGGTTACTGTGCGAAAAAATACAATGTTTGATAGTTTGAGTTAAAGAGGTATCTTTTGTTAGTTTATTTATAGCTGGTTAAGCATCCTTCAAGGAAAACAGACTGTTGGATTTTTCTTTTTCTTTTTTTTTGAGACAGTCTCTTGCTCTGTCACCCAGGCTGGAGTGTGCAGTGGCGCAGTCTCAGCTCACTGCAACCTCCGTCTTCCGCTCAAGCAATTCTTCTGCCTCAGCCTCCTGGGTAGCTGTGACTATAGGCGCCTGTCACCATGCCTGGGTAATTTTTTGTATTTTTAGTAGAGATGGGGTTTCACCATATTAGCTAGGATAGTCTCAATCTCTTGACCTCGTGATCCGCCCGCCTCAGCCTCCCAAAGTGCAGGGATTACAGGCATGAGCCACTGTGCCCGGCCTGGATTTTTCTTTTGAAAACATTTCTTATAATACCAAGTTCCTCAAAAGTAATTATTTAAATTATAATTTTATGAATTAATTGTAATGACTAAGATATTGATAAATTATCTGTAATGAAATTCTGATGCAGAGAAAGCTAATATTGAACTTTTTATTGGAAGAGTGTTGCTTCTCAATTTTTAGAATTACCTAGACATTTGTAATTAGGCAAGAAGGAATCTATTACTAGCTTCTATGATGGGATTAATTTAAGCTACTAGCTTTTCTCAATCCCTTATTTGTATCAAGTTATTTTATAATAAGAGGTGAAATTTTAAAATTATGTCATAATGTAAGTTCTTATCAGTAACAGTTTTACTAATGGTTGAATATAGTATCCATAAAAGTTTATTAATGGGTGCTAAGAAATAAAAAGCCAGAATACAGTATCATAGCTCATGTTTCACAGATGTTATCAGAACAGTCTGCAAAATAGCCTCTCTTATTGAGTTGTATGTAAGGTCACATTTGTGAAGAGGTTTTAGGGAAGTGTTAGTAACTAGACAGAGGCTTTGCCCTGGAAACCAACGTTGTTCACAGCTGCTGCTGAGTGAAAGGACCCTATTCATAGGATTACAGTCTTTGGACAGAGTTAGAAGCTTCTGGCTTTATAGTGGTTTTATACCAACAAGCTTTTTACTATGTTTCAGTTTAGCAAAGGACTATTGTTAACAAAACACTTGGTGTACTTACATAATAAATTGAGTTCATTTTACAGTTTGAAAGTCTTAACAGTGATTTACCATTTAGACTTACGTTGTAAGATTTTTGGTTTGGCTTGGTATTTAAATAACAATGGGAGAAATAACATGGAGAGGGATTTGGTCACATTTTTGGGAATTGAAATATTTTCATAGCTAGTTTTTTTGTTTGTTTTGGGAGACTGACTCTTGCTTTGTCTCCCAGGCTGGAGTGTGGTGACACAATCTTGGCTCACTGAAACCTCTGCCTCCTGGGTTCAAACCATTCTCCTGCCGCAGCCTCCTAAGTAGCTGGGATTACAGGCACATGCCACCATGCCTGGCTGATTTTTACATTTTTAGTAGAGACAGTTTCACCATGTTGGCCAGGCTGGTCTCGAACTCCTGACCTCAAATGATCCACCTGCCTCGGCCTCCCACGTTGCTGGGATTACAGGCATGAGCCACCACGCCTGGCCCATAGCTAGTTTTAAAATATCTTATTTGCAGCTCAGGAAATATGGATAGTAATTCAAGGAAAATGTGACAAAAGTACATTTTAGTTCGTGCATTTAAAATTCACTCTGGGCCAGGAACAGTGGGTCATGCCTGTAATCCCAGCACTTAAAGAGGCTGAGGCAGAAGGATTGCTTGAGCTCAGAAGTTTGAGGCCAGTCTGGGCAACACAGCAAGACCTAATCTCCGTTAAAAAAAAAAAAAAAGCCAGGCGAGGTGTCTCATATCTGTAATCTCAGCACTTTGGGAGGTTGAGGCAGGCAGATTGCTTGAGCCGAGGAGTGTGAGACCAGCCTGGGCAACATGGCGAGACCCTGTCTCTACAAAAAATACCAAAAAAATTAGTCAGGTATGGTGGCGCATGCCTGTCTACACAGGAGGCTGTGGTGGAAGGATCACCCAGGTCTTGGCTACAGTGAGCTGTGGTCTGGGTGACAGAGCAGGAGTCCATCTTTTAAAAAAAAAAATTTTTTTTTTTTTAAATTAATTAACTCTGTAAAAGCTTAGATTTGTAGTGCTGTTTTGAATATAGTTCCATTTTGTATGCATGCATGTGTGTAAAAAGTCATTAAGTCTGGAATGAAATACAGTGTATCCATGAAACCAATTTTAGAATTATGTGTGTGTATATTTATGTACATATATGTATATAAATAGATACATACCTTAGATTCCATTATTATCAGTTTTTCCTCTTGTTTGTATCTACTGTATATTTCTCTAGGAAATACTCTTGGTCTTTAGGTCACATTAGCTATTGTCGAAATTTAGTTATGAATTATTGATTTATACGAAAATAAATGTCTTTGATTTCTGTTCACCTGTCAGGTGGATTCTCAGTATCCTCCTGTTCAGAGACTTATGACCCCAAAGCCAGTTTCCATAGCAACAAATCGAAGTGTTTATTTTAAACCATCGCTGACTCCATCTGGTGAATTTAGGAAGACTAATCAAAGAATAGATAAAAAGTGCAGTGTGAGTATATGTATATTTCTACCAGTCTTTGAATATTGATTAGAATGAGTAAGATTAAATAATGTTAAATATAACTACCATTGCATTCTAGCAACTGTATAACGCATTAAGGTTGTGAATTAGTGATGATTATGAATTGGTATACTTTTAAAATAGCTGTCACCTTGATCAAATCTTTCTTTTTTTTTTTAAGATGGAGTCTCACTCTGTCGCCCAGGGTGGAGTGCAATGGCATGCATGGTCTCAGCTCACTGTAGCCTCTGCCTCCTGGGTTCAAGTGATTCTCCTGCCTCAGCCTCCTGAGTAGCTGGGACTACAGGCATGTGCCACCTCACTCAGCTAATTTTTGTATTTTTAGTAGAGACAGGGTTTCACCACGTTGGCCAGGCTGGTCTCAAACTCCTGACCTCAAGTGGGCCACCTGCTTAGGCCTCCCAAAGTGCTGAGATTACAGGTGTGAGCCACTGCGCCTAGCCGCTACCTTGATCAGATCTTAAGTTAGTGTTGACTAGTAAACTCTAGCATATACTCATTGTTTAGGTTTAATAATTTTGCTGGATTTGCTTTATCTGTTTCTTGCGTGTGGCATTGTTGAACTATCTGAAAGTAAATTTCAGACATTATCTTTTGAACCCTAAGTACTTTGATATGCATCTCCTAAGTACTTTGTCCTGTATTATCCCATCTAAGAAAATTAATTCTAATTCCTTAAAACTATCTAATATCCAGTTCATATTGAAATGTTTTTCATAATTGCTTTTTTGAACCAGGACTCAGCAAGGTTCAGATACTGCTTTTGGTTTTGTTTTTCCATACCTCAAACCCTCACCCTGGCCACATTGGATTCTGTTTCTTGAGATAATTCACATATCATGCAAAGTTTAAATCATACATATTTAAAGTTTTCAATTCAGTGGTTTTAGCATGTTTGGAAAACACTTTATAAATAAAGTGGTGTCTGTGAGTTGTTCAACTGTTCGGCCATCATAATGGTAAATTTTAGAACGTTTGTATTGCCATCTCTCCCACCCTTCGAAAATCTACCCATACCCACTAGTAGCCACTTAGCATAATGTTTTCAAGGTTCATTCGCGTTGTAGTATGTATGAGTACTTCATTTTTTCCCTTTTTATGGCTGAATAATATTTCATTGTAAGAATATACTAGATTTTGTAGATATTTCATTGTATGGATATACTAGATTTTGTTTTATACATTAATCAGTTGAGGGACATTGGGGTGGTTTTTACTTTTTGGCTATAATGAATAATGCTTCTATCAACATTTATGTGTGTGTTTTTTTGTTTGTTTGTTTGTTTGTTTTGTGGACATGTTTTTATTTCTCTTGGATTTATACCTAGAAATAGAATTGCTGGATCTTAGGTTTTTGAAGAGACCAGGCCAGTTTTCTTATAAAAAATGTCCCATAATCTGGGTTTGTCTGTTTTTTTGTGTCATTTAACTTGTGTTTTTGTTTACTTAACACCTTACTGTTTATGCCTTTACTTACATTTAATCTCATTTCTAACAACTCAATTTATTGAAAACCTTGAAACTTAGAAAGATTAGTACAGTGATTGCCCATGTATTTCTTTATGTTGATTGACCAGTCATTAACATTTTGTCATATTCGCTTTATCTCCCTCCATACTTTTAAGTTCACATTAAATTTTTGAAAAATATTTTGAATATAAGGTGGTCACGGTGGCTCGTGCCTGTAATCCCAGTGCTTTGAGAGGCTCAGGCAGAAGGATCAGTTGAGGCCAGGAGTTCAATACTAGCCCAGGCACCATAGTGAGACCTTGTCTCTAGAGGAAATTTAAAAAATTAGCCAGATGTGGTGGTGCTTGTCTGTAATCCTAGCAAGGCAGGAGGCTGAGGTAGGAGAATCATGTGACAGCCCAGGAGTTTGAGGCTGAAGTGAACTATGATTGCACCACTGTACTCCAGCTTGGGTGACAGAGTAAGACCCTGACTCACACACATTCTCTCTCTCTCTCTCTCTCTATATATATATATATACACACACACACACACATATATATATATTTGGCTATAATGAATAATGCTCCTATGAACATTTATGTGTGTTTTGTTTTTGTTTTTTTTGTTTTGTGGGCATGTTTTTATTTCCCCTGGATTTATACCTAGAAATAGAATTGCTGGATCATAGGATATATAGCCAGTATATATATATATATATATATATACACACACACACACACACACATTTCATATAGATACACACATATATACATATTTCATATATATATTTTTTGAGCATATTGGACTTTTACAGATTTGCAAGAAAAATTTCGTGAACTTCACATTTTACTACATTTGTTGTATCTTTTTCTCTGTGTTCTTATAAACGAGTTCCCTTACGTAATGCATAACAGTGATCAAACCCAGAAATTTAACATTTGCAGAACACTGTAGTCTACAGATTCTATTTACATGTTGTCAGTTGGCCCCAAAGAAAAAATTCTAACATCATGTCTTGCATTTAGTCGTCATGTCTCTTCATCTCCTTTAGTCTAGAACAGTTCCTTTTGTTTTTTGTTTTTGTTGTTTTGTGTTTCACAACTGATAATTTTGAAGTATAGAAGCCAATTATTTTGTAGAATGTTCTGTAGTTTTATGATTGATGTTTCCTCCTGATTAGATTTCAGTTACGTACTTTTGGCTGTGAAAACCATTGAGGGAGTGTGCTGAGCTGTTCTCACTGTTCAGAAGGCACTGGCTACCAGTTTGTCCCATTCCTGGCAGTGTGGTTATTACATAAAGTGGTGTCTGTGAGGATTCTCTACTATAAAATTACTACTTTACCTTTCATAATGAATAAGTATCTTGTGGGAAGGAAACTTCCCAATTATATTCTTTTCAGCCACTAATGTTAGCATTATTGATGATTCTTGCCTGTATCTTTTTGAGCACTTAATTGGTTTTTGATATTATAAGATAATTCAGGCTCTTCACATGCATTTCCTGCCCCAGCCCTGTAATCAGCCGTTTTTCTAAGGAGTCTTGATTCCTTTCAGTGGACATATTAATTATTTAAGTTGCAGAGAGGCATTTCGAAAGGAATATCTTTGTATATTTGGTTGCACAATTAGCAGGACAAAAAGAGGGATAAGTAAAAGTAATTTTGTGATTAGGTTAGTGAGTGTATTGTCTATATACTACCATTTTGTTAAAATAATGGTTGTGCTCACTGACATTTTTTATGTATAATCTCACCATAACTCTTGGTTACCATTCAGAAGTCAGGGTATAATTTCAAATTTCAGGATTCATTAACTAAAAAGCCATCAAATTCCTGATTCTAAATATTAAAATTAGTAGGGAGCAAGGTGGTATTAAGAAAATTACAACAAATAAGCAAATGTAAATATGTGTGTATTTCCCCCGCAGACTGGATATGAAAAAAATACGACACCTGGACAAAATAGAGAACAACGAGAAAGGTACTGTCATTTTTTATACAGCTATACTTCTTTATATTTAACTTGTAAGGTCTGTATTTGATTTACATGTACGTTTTTGAAGATTAAAATCAAAGAACAGAAACTTTATACAAAAATCTAAGATTTTAGAATCACATTTGCCTGTATATATATATATTTTTTACTTGTTAGCAGTTCTAGTTAACAAGTTATGGACCAGAATAATATATCAATTGTTTTAATTTTCTTTTTATTTGCCAGTGGCTTTTCATATCCAAATTTCAGTTTGCCTGCAGCCAATGGTTTATCTTCTGGAGTAGGTGGTGGAGGTGGCAAGATGAGACGAGAAAGAACACGCTTTGTTGCTTCTAAATCTCCGGAGGAGGAGGTAGGGTTGTATACTCATATATTCTTGAGGTTTATTTAAAAAGCACTGGTGTGGTGGTGGTTAGGGGAGACCTGTAGGGGTGGGGTTCGAGGAGACCCAGAGCAAAGTTAATCTGCTATTGAATCAGTTCTTTCAAAATGTATGCTGAAAACCTAACCTAGTACCTTAAATTTCATGGGTATCGTTGAACAAAACAAAACTACCCGTACTTTTTCAAATAAGGGAATTGCAATTAAAATTATTTGAGCCTTGGTATTACTGTATAGTTTTGTCTGTTTGTAAAACATATGTAAATAAGTTCATGAATAGGATAAATGCTATATGTATTCTTCTTTTTTTAAGATACAGTCTCGCTCTGTCACTCAGGCTGGAGTGCAGTGGTGCAATCTCGGCTCACTGCAACGTCTGCCTCCTGGGTTCGGGCGATTCTTGTGCCTCAGCCATGCAAGTAGCTGGGACTATAGGCATGTGCCACCATACCTGGCTAATTTTTGTATTTTTTGTAGAGATGGGGTTTCACCATGTTGGCCAGGCTGGGTCAAACCCGTGCCGTCAAGTGATCCACGTGCCTCAGCCTCGCAAAGTGCTGGGATTATAGGCGTGAGCCACTGTGCCCTGCCCGTATTCTTCTTACTTGCCTATTTCTCCTTTTTTGGTGTTGTATTGTGAAAGGTAACTGTAAGTTTTTTAATTTCACTGCTTATATATTTATCCAGTTTGTAGATTTACCATAATCTATTCTGCCATCAGGATACATTTTGGTAGATTTCTAATACACATTAAAGTGAATATGCACTTTTCTGTCTGCAGATGTGCGATATTTTCTCTGGAGTATTTGTCTAGGAATGGAATTGTTGGGATTATAGGGGATGATCCACATCTTCAGCTTTATTAGATGTTGCCATGTTTTCTCTTCAAGGTAGTTTTGCAGTTCAGTATTTCCACCATATGACAATAGGTAGATCTTGGGCCGTCCTTCTGTGTGTTTTTTTGATATTTGAGTTTTCTCTTGATCCATTTTTTTCCTATGGGGTGATTTCCTGTGGGGAAGTATACATATATAATTCTTGTATGTATATTAAGAAATATGTATGTGTATGTATATATAATTTATTGTTAGAAAAAGTTCTCTATATATTCTGACCATAAATGTTTGGAAAAGGTAGGGACAAATTTAAGATTGATTACATTAACCTTTCTGTCTATATATTGTTCTTTTTTCTAACTACTTTGAGTTGAATGCAAGTCTCATTTTAGTTTTATTATAAATGCATTTCAGCCTAGCTTAACCATTTGAGTTTTGATACGTGGTCCTTGCATTTGTCATTTGTTTCTAATTAAAATTTCACAGGTGACTCCCTTATTGACCCATGAGTTTTAGGAGTATATTTTTAGCTTTTTAAACATGCTTTTCTCTTTATGTTGACAGAAACAAAATCATGTTTTGGTTGAAGTTGTTGGATGTCTTAGATTTCTTCATGCCTATTGGTATTTTGCTCTTCAGGCTTAGAGTGGAATGCCTTGCATTATTTTTATCTCTGCTTCTCCTAGTTAGCAGTACTATAGCTCACCAGAATTATGACTTCCTTGGCAGTTTTCACTTTCTGCCATATACATTGACTTGCAATGAGATTTGGGATTATGTTAGTAGACTTGGCTCGATTGCTGGTCTGGGGGCTCTGTCTTTCCCTTAGTCTCTGTTTCTCGCTCTACTAGAGTGTTGTGAAGGGAGGGGATGTATTACTATATATCATTGTCTGGAAAGGAAATATCTTGAATGCCATTGATCATACAAACAGTATATAAATTTTGTAGATTCTGTAGCAAACCAATTTTCTTTTGTTATTAAAGCTCTTTATTACATTTAAGAAATGGGTTGGCAGCCGGGTGCAGTGGCTCACGCCTGTAATCCCAGGACTTTGGGAGGCCGAGGCGGGCAGATCAAGAGGTCAAGAGATCGAGACCATCCTGGCCAACATGATGAAACCCTGTCTGTACTAAAAATACAAAACTTAGCTGGGCGTGATGGCACACGCCTGTAGTCCCAGCTACTCGGGAGGCTGAGGCAGGAGAATCACTTGAACCCCGGAGGTGGAGGTTGCAGTGAGCTGAGATCGCACCAGTGTACTCCAGCTTGGCAGCAGAGTGAGACTCTGTCTCAAAAACAAAACAAAACAAAAACAAAAGAAATGGGCTGTCTTACCTTGTGTAAATAAGGAATTTATTAGGTTGGTACAGAAGTATTTGGGGTTTTGGACCATGACTTTTAAATCATTATAACTAGGCTCAAACACATCTTTATTGAAAAAAACAGGAACCATTACAATCAACACATTTTTGCCAACAAGAAATAAATTTGCTTATTCCTATAGCACAAAAATCTGTGCTTTGGGATTCGACAAGCTCTTGGAAAGCATTTTCTGCATGCTGCTGTTATGGAAGTGTTTTCCCTGCAAAACGTTTTCGAGATGCTTGAAGAAGTGATAGTCAGTTGGCGAGAGGTCAGGTGAATATGGCGGATGAGGCAAAACTTTGTAGCCCAATTTCTTCAACTTTTGAAGCGTTGGTTATGCAGTGTGCCATTGGGTGTTGTTGTGGAGAAGAAGTAGGCCCTTTCTGTTGATCGATGCCAGCTGCGGGCATTGCAGTTTTTGGTGCATCTCATTGATTGCCTGAGGAGACTTCTCAGATGTAGTGGTTTTGCCAGGATTCTGAAAGCTGTAGTGAATTAGACCGGCCGCAGACCACCAGACAGTGACCGTGGCCTTTTTTTGGTGCAAGTTTGGCTTTGGGAAGTGCTTTGAAGCTTCTTCTTGGGTCAGCTACTGAACTGGTTGTCACTGGTTATCGTGTAAAATCCTCTTTTCGTCCCATGTCACAATCCGATAAATGGTTTGTTGTTGTTGCATAGAGTAGGAGAAGACGACACTTCAAAACAATTTTTTTTAATTTCACTCAGCTCAAGACTCCCACTTATTGAGCTTTTTCACCTTTCCAATTTGCTTCAAATGCAGAATGACCATAGAATGGCTAACGTTGAGTTCTTTGGCAATTTCTTGTGAGGTTTGAGGATCAGCTTTGGTGACTGCTGTCAATTGGTCACTGTCAACTTCCAGGGGCTGGCCATTACGCTTCTCATCTTCAAGGCTCTTGTCTCCTTTGCAAACTTTGTTTTTTGTTGTTGTTGTGTGCTTCTTTGGGTGTTTTGTTTTGTTACTGTTTTGAGACAGTCTTGCTCTGTGGACCAGGGTGGAGTACAGTAGCGTGATCCCAGCACACTGCAGCCTCCACCTCCTGGGTTCAAGCTATTTTCCTGCCTCAGCCTCCCGAGGCCTCCAAGCTTCCCCTTTCCTGCCTCACTCTCAGCCATGTGTCACAGGCCCAGCTAATTTTTTGTATTTTTGATGGAGACAGGGTTTCACCATGTTGACCAGGCTGGTCTTGAACTCCTGACCTCAAGTGATCCGACTGCCTCAGCCTCCCAAAGTGCTGGGATTACAGGCGTGAGCCACCATGCCCAGCCTCCTTTGCAAAAACTTCTTGAACCACCACTGCAGTATATGTTCATTAGCAGTTCTGGGCCAAATGCTTTGTTGATGTTGGTGAGTTCTCTTTGCTGCTTTACAATCCATTTTGAACTCGAATAAGAAAATCGCTCAAACTTGTTTTTTGTCTAACATCATTTCCACAGTCTAAAATAATATAAAATAAACAGCAAGTAATAAGTCATCAGCTAAATAACATAAAGCAAGAAATTTGCATTAAAATGATGTATAATATAACCATATTCAAGAATGTATTCCAGTTATCAAGTGGCAAATTATTATAATGCAAAACTGCAATTACATTTGCACCAATCTGATATCTGATTCAAATAGCATGAGCTTATTTTTTTTGACAAGTTTTTACTTTTCCTGGTAAAATCTGTGGCCTGTTTTGTAAAGTTTATCTCTGTATGAGGAAAATACAACTTGGCTTTGTTTGTATAGATATTGCTCATTTCTCTTACCCAACAAAAGGGCTTACTGCCTGATGAGCACAGAACCCATACCATGGCACCAGGTTTTGTTTTGTTTTTTTGAGACAGGGTCTCACTCTATTTGTCGCCCAGGCTGGAGTGCACGATCTTGGCTCACGGCAACCTCCCCCCTCTGAGTTCAAGTGATTCTCATGTCTCAGCCTCCCAAGTAGCTGGGATTTTAGGCACGCACCACCAAGGCCAGCTATTTATTTTTTATTTTTTTATTTTAGTAGAGATGGGGTTTTGCCATGTTGTCCGGGCTGTTCTCGAATTCCTGACCTTAAGTGATCCCCACCTGCCTTGCTTCCCAAAGTGCTGGGATTACAGGTGTGAGTCACTGTGCCCAGCCAGAAAATAATTTTTAGTATACCAGACAATAAGAGCAAAATATTATTAATATTAATAAAACAAACTCTTCAATACAGCAAAGTCATACCAAACATGTATCTGCAAGACAGCTAAAACTAAGCTATAGATAATCAACCTGAGCTTCAGCTTAAGATCTCAGAAGTTTTATTTTTAAAAACTGAAGCTGAAGGTGAAGCCATGCTCCAAAGAATTAAAGAAATCAGTGGCTAACAGGTATTCTTGAACTTACAAGATGGCAGATAAGAAACAGCTTGCTGAAGCCCTCTCCACTTGTAAGATAACAAAGCTGACTGAAATTGGCTGGAACTAATATGACCAACTAGAGTCTGCAGAATGAGCTTGCTGACATCACAGCCCAGATTTCCACATTTCATTCTAACTGCCCCAGAATTTGCACATGTGGCCCATAAAGATGCATGAAGAGACAACTGTGCACACCCAGGGACTTTTCAGACCTCCTCTTTCCTGCCCCAGAATCTACCCCCTAAACCTTTCCTAATAAACATATTGCCTTAAGGCCAATTTGTGGGGAGACAGATTTGAGCTGGACTCCTGTCTTCCTTGTTGGTTGACTGTAAGTAAAGCTTTCCTTTCTTCAGAAACCTGGTGC